AGACGTGTGCTCTTCCGATCTCCCCAAAACCCCAAAACCCCAAAACCCCAAGATTTCGTTATCTATAATTTTTTAAGAATTTTTATTAATAATTTTCTTACTTATATATTAATTAAGTATTCTTGTTTATATGATTTAGAAGGTTAAATATAACTCACAATAACTTAGGTAAAATGCTATTAGAGGATGATTATCTAGTAAGAAGTCTCGTCTGATTATTGTTGTTATTTCCATGTTAAGGATGTGTATGAGACTAAGGATTTTCTGTGTACTCGTTGCTAGATTATATTTATTATTGCTGTAACTATGAGGGAGGTATTAATACTCTCTTTTTTGTTTTCTCAAGATTGCTTTTGCTTCTATCCTCATCAGTAATTCTAGGTCCTTTATAGGTGATCTACTGAGTAATCTATTGCTAAGGTCCGTTTTAAACCTTATTTTATTGAATAATGTAGATGTTTTGCTGCCCCTACCCAACTTAAAATGGCTAGGTGCTGTTGTATTATACTTATTTCGGGTCAATAATCTGGACAAAAGCTTTTTGGTACATTGATGGAGGAGCTGCCATCGGAAGATTACTATGTTTTGAGTTTTTAAGTTTGGCTTTATTCTCTAATAGCCTCCTACTGAAAAATTGAGAAGATGATAATCTTATCTAAGGATCATCTGCTGGAATCTTATTTTATTGCATAACCTATTAATTTTGATTCTGCTAGTGTTTTTGTTTTGAGTTGGTTCTGCTTACAGAAGGTCTTCGATCCCCTTGCTTGCTATCTAGATTTTATCTTGATGAGTTTTAACGCCCTATTTCTACTGACTCTCGGCTATTGATAAGCACTCTTTACATATCATTGTTGTAGTTCATTCTATTAGAATAATCTAGATCTTAATAAGATTGCTAAGGATCAACAAATTATTATCTATTATGAGACCTTCCGTTATTACTCATCTAGTCAAATTCTTCAATATGTATGTTATTGGAACTTTTAGGGCTAAAATTTGAAAATCTTAGAGGTGGTGCTTGATATAGCTTTTAATCTGTAGAAATTTATAAATTGCCTTAATTCTACATTATCATTTGAGTAGACCTTAGATTGATTTAACTCTACTGCTTTTCTGAGTCTTTAATTAAAAAAGTTTTTTCTGGTATTTACTAAGGGGTTGCTGACTAATCCACGTAATTTCTTATATCCACACCATTGTTGTCTTGCTATGATAAGTCAAATGGCATTTATATTTTATTTTAGCTATTTTTCAATAATTTAGCATTACTTTTTTTTGTTTGTAAGGCTTTCTCTTGTTATCTCTGAGTTAGAAAATTCTTGTTATAAGAAATTACAATCGGCAGATTACCATGTCTAGGATTTATTTAATCTTTCGCTTCAGGATTGGGACTATAAAATGGTTCTTATTAATTAAGAATAGTTGGCACACTTAATCTGCCACCAAGATGATTTTCAAGAAAGGTTTCTCTAATATCTGAATGCAGAGATGGCCGACGCATTCTCTCCTCAGCCATATTCTGTTAGTACAGCAATATATTTTGAAATGTCGTATTTTGGCTATGTTTCACTATTTTATTATCTTCAACCTACTGAATAAACTTTTTTTTGTTTTTAATCTGCTAGCTCCATGCATTTTCTCTTTTAGTTTAACCATTAGTTTCATCATTCTATTCGTTGCTTGCTTGCTACTTTGGCTTCTTCTTATTTAGATTGCTAGATGAAAAGTTTTCACTTTAAAACCTTTTCAGTTTCGATTTTTCGACTTCGATCGTAAAAGTCTGAATAGACCTGTTCTTTGCATTAGAAGATACACATTTAACTCCCGTCCCTAAGCTACTTAGCAGTTCATCCTTAAAGCCTTTACTAATTAAACTTCCTTGATAATTCTAAAAGTTTGACTTATATGGAGTTTTATCAGGGCACATCGAATAGTTTTCCTTTAATGGAGTTAGATCTCGCTTGTAAAAGTGCAAACTAGTGGAAAATGTATGTCTTTATGATTTATTAAGATTATCATTTGAGTCTTGAGATTGTTTTGTGGGATTTTCTGCTTTTTATTTGTATTCTTTGCTTTTATAGATTGAAAATAACTTTTTTGATCTTTTGATGTTCATATCATGAGTGTACAATTCATCTAATGCTTGTCTAAATTTATCCTAATTAATCTGCTTGTCCAATTGAAGGATTGAGAACGAGTAAATCACAGGAAGCTATTATAATTTTCGCCCAATTGTCTCTATTATCTATTCCTACTTTTTGATATGAGTTTGGTGTTCAGGCAATTTTTAATCTACTATCAAGTCCTTTAGTGAGGGTTACTTTGTCCCTACCTTAATATTTTTGTTTTAGTTAGAGGCATTTTAATTTATTGAGTTATTCTATACTTGCTATTATTCTTACTTATTCGCCTTTAATTCTCCTTCAAGTTTTTATTTGCTTTCTATAATTTAAGTCTCTGATCTCATATTTATATCATTTGAAGAAATATGCTTGGGAGGCTATTTTTATTTAGGGAGTGAAACCGATTTTTTATGATTAATACCTTAATTATTGCATGTTTGTTTCTTGATTTCCATTAATTAATTTATTATGTTGATTTTTTTAATATTATGAATTCATTTCGAAGATCCCCACAATTATTCACTTTAAGGGGTTTTGGGGTTTTGGGGTTTTGGGG